GCAAAGGAGGGTTAATAGCCCAGACTTTGCCTGCTGCAGCAAAGTACAATAGACTGTGCACAAGCTGGATGCAGTTCGTTGCACTGGGGCATCATGATCCAACTTGGGTGACACCTTGGGGGTAGGGGCGGGGTGGAGGAGGGGGAAAGTTCATTTCAAGAGTTCAAAGGGCGAAGGGGTTACAGGGACATCTTGGGGAAAGGGGTAGGATTTAGGAAAGTAAAGCTTAGTTATTGTTACTTTACATTTGGCATGAATTGCCTGAGGTTAAAGGTCACTGGGATACATAACAGTGTCTCAACAGTTTATTGGACAGAGGTGGGTTTCCAGAGATTCAAGGTTTCTGTCAAACTTGCCATGGGAGTAAATGGCTCAGTATGGAGGTGAATCTTGCTTAGAATTTGCAGAGCCATTTTTAAGTAAGGCTTTTGTAACAGTTTGGTGGTCGTCGTGATCCGCGTTAGACGTGTGCTTGTATATTTGGGGGCTTCTAGAGCCGTTCTGGGCAAAACATTCGGAAGATGAAATTATGCCGTCTGTTATTTTACAGAATCTACAAGAGGATGAAGGTTTTCAAAATGCAGTCAAGACGAGCCATGGGCGTCGTCCTCCAGTAAGTATGCTATTGGATTATGCCGTGTATGGTTTGGTCTATATAACATACGGTAATCTAGGATAAGAATGCATTTATGGGTTGTTTTCTTTTGTAGATGACAGCAACACGTCAGTTTGCGATACAGCGTGGGCAGATGGGCACAGCTGCTGGGGTAAGTCATCTACCCTGAAGAATAATTGCTTACACAGTCTTATTTCACTAAAAAACCAGACAGGACAAGACGTGTTGTTCATACACTAGGCAGAGGCATGTACAACAAAGGACCGAAGTGATAACCATCAAGAAAGGAACACTTTCTTTCTCTTTTTGTTTGTCCTGTGCCAACATTTATAACTATCGAGTGTATACCCGCATATTTAAGTTCATTGTTAGAACCCTTTTATCTGGATGGGCATTGGTCTCAACCTTTGTACTAATTATTTGCTCACAAGGCCAAACTTTGATGATGTAGGGCCTGTCCAAATCAACTGGCTGTGGCTAGGAGTAACACGCATCTGTGGGAAATGGCTATAGCCACTAGTGGATTCCATATGCCCATGTGTTTTTTTTAAGCTGTAGCCACAGCAACAACTTTTAACACAGCCATAGCCCATTCAAAATAGCAAACTGTGTAAGTCACACAGTTGCCTCAGTCAGTTTATGGACTCTGAATCTTGAATGAAACAATACCCTGGATGAAATCAGAAAACACCTTCCTCACAATTTCTCTTGTTACTGTTAGGCTCGTCTCAAGACTGGTTTAGTATCATCAATGGGTGCTCGCCCTACCACAGGCATTGCTGCTGCAGTAAGTATCACCCAGAATGGAAAACTCATAAATTACAAGAAAGCTCAAAGTCTCTGATTAACAACAAACCAGTAACACTATGAAATTTGACTGTCAGCAGTCAGGTTTCTCTGAATTTGAAGCCTCAGGAAGAATTTACTTTTAAAGTAGCAAAGTAGCATTCTCCTCAAAAAGAAGTTTTCCTTAAAGCTACCCTTACCTTTGTTGACCATGACAATAAACCACCCGTAACTGTCCCTTTAAGGATGGCAGTGTCGCCAGACCAATGACTGCAGTCAAGGCAGCTGGCTATTCTTCCACTGGACGTGGTCAACAGTTTGACCCCATGAACCAAGCCTCCAAAGGTCCAGCCCCACCACTGGAGACAAAGAGTGAAGACACGTAAGTGGAATACACTCTAAAATAAAAATGCTCAAGAAACATTTTATAAGCGAATCAGTCCTAAGTAATTACCTATTTCATTTTAAGATGAACTTTACCCGACCGCAAATAAATAATATTTCCCTAAATTTGGGGTCTGATGTTGGTGTCCCTGTTACATCTGAAATGTTTGAGATTTAATGCAGGGCACGTTAATGCTTTGCATCTCCAAGAGTTATGTAAAGTTCTTAGTGAGCAAACACTAGTGTGAAGTCACTTTTATTGATGCTTGAATGGTAAATGAGCAATCAGGTCGACAGGGAAACTTTGCTTTGGAGTTTTAACTTTGGATTTCCATACCTGAAGTGCCAGTAAAGTTCTCTAAAGATATTTTAGAAAATGCCTGTCAAATCTGTGGGTGCCCCCCTCCGCTGTAACTCGTTTGATTCACTGGAGATCTTAAATTTACTGCAAGTATGCAGTATTTTGCAACACTGATGTCAGCCATCTGCTCATTTTGAATTTACTCAATTTTAATTTAACATGGAAACGGGTCCAGAAAGTCTCTCTAACTTTTCCCACAAAGCCCCGAAGAAAAGATCAAGAACCTGGAGAAGAAAGTCAACGCGCTGATCGAGGAAAGCTGCATGGCCAACAGCAGGGGAGAGCTGAGCCTGGCTTTGGAGAAGGCAAAGGAGGCAGGGAGAAAAGAACGGATGTTAGGAAGACAGAGGGATGAACTATTCAACGGGGAACAGGTCAACCTAGACCAGACGTACTCAGTGAGTTGACAGTAGAGTCACACTAATAGATTTCTCTGCAGGAGCTCAGTAATTTTCTGTGATCCCACAGAGGTGCTCTAATTGAGACCAATCGTAGAGATATTTCTATAAATCGCAAATTTGAGACTTGTGGCTTCCAACTTGGAGCATTTCGTTCACATGAAACTCCAACCTGTGAGCCTCTTTTGCATAGAGGTGAATGGCTATACTTAGACCTCAGTGAGTGCATGGGTTTACTCCTATTTTGGGGTTATTTTGGGGGAAGGGTGAATAAACAAACCTCATGTGGTTATTAAACCCTCATGAAATTGTGGCCGTAATCTTGAATTCCCAGTGAAGCACAAGAGGCCAACTTCTTCCTAAAAGTTATGGGCTGTGATATTTCTGTCCAGTTTTGCACTATTTTCTATGAGGTTCTATGAGCTTGAGGTTCCGTAGGTCATTTTTAGGTGAATTCCTCAATCATTTGGCTGTGGCTGTCAGATGTGCAAGCCGGTGCTGCGTAGTATGTTCATGACGCATGACGCGATGACACATGACGCGTTTATGACGCGATGAACATGTGGGACAGGAACAGGTTCACACAGTCACAAGAAAAAAGTCAAACAAAAATTATGTCTTCTGTCACACTGCCATGTTCTCAGTTGACCCGTGTCATACACGTAATGATGTCACGTTCTGTTTACATGTGCGCTTTCCTACGTGGGCTCAGGGATCATTACCTACTTCACTGCCATGAGAAAGCACATAAAGCGTGATGCCATTATGTTGTAGGTTTGTTTGTCCAAGCAGTGATGTCAGTTAAGTGCAAGTAACGCAACAAAAATGTTCAAAATCGACCAAAGCCCACATTAAACTTGTTTCTGGTTGTGTCAATGAACAAAAGCCCCCAAATTAGAGTTAACTGTAAAGAAGTAATTACTGATCATGCACGAAAAGTGAGGGGGATTCAGAATTAGTTTTGGAGGAGAAGAAAGCGTTTGTAGGTCAGATTTGAAACCAGTTAGCTAACCAGCGATTGAACTAAGGTCATCGCAAGAAGGACATACATGGTGACCTGTGTGATAGTGTTTCACCAACGGGGCTATGAAGTATTGATATTTCTACAAACTACAGACTAGCTGGGGCCAATTTCATAGAGCTGCTTAAGCACAGAATTTGCTTTAGCGTGAAAACAGCTTGTTTACAACTCAGGTTACCAGCCAGAACTCCATGTGATGTATATTGTTCTTGAATGGTATTTGGCTGTCTTTTGGTTAGCATGACAATCACATAGATTTTGAGCTGGTAACCTTTATTTTTAAGCAAGGTTGTTTGCGCTTAAGCAAATTTTGTGCTTAAGCAGTTTTACGAAATTGGCCCCTGCTGCAGACTTTGTACCAACTTGAAGGAATGCACAATTCAGCCGGGGTGATCAGTTAGTACCACTGTGCTAACCAATCTCAATTGCTGCCTGTCTCAGCTCAACTATACCATTTCCATTTTTGGCCTCTGTGGGATTCGAGCCCGCCCAATACAATCCATTACCAAAGTCAGTCTTTTCTCTCTACAGGTGCTGTTTAACGTAGCCAATCAGTACGAAGCTAACGAGATGTTCCAGGAAGCCCTCAACACCTACCAGGTCATTGTCAAGAACAAGATGTTCTCCCATGCGGGCCGGCTGCGCGTCAACATAGGCAACATCTACTTTAAGCAGAGGAACTTCCCCAAGGCCATCAAATACTACCGAATGGCTCTGGACCAGGTCCCAAATACACACAAGGAGATGAGGTAAGCTGTCTGGGATCCTTACAAGAATTCATGCTTAATGGATTGTAGAATAACCAGTGTTGTGGAGTCCATCACAAGTCCCTGTAAGTCCAGCCCAAGTCATTCAGTTGTTACAAGAGCATTCCTTTATCATTGTTCACCCTGTTGCTTATGACTGGTCTTGTGAAAGGACTTTTGAAGGGACTTGTGAAAGGACTCGACTGCAACATTGGGAAGAACTGTAGAATCAGGCGTACGCAGTGTTTGTTTGTGCACAGTGCGCATAAGCCCCTGCAGTACCTGCATATGGGAGGAGTGTTCCTTAGCATGGGTACTCGACCAAATGGTGTCCTGGTTACCCTCACTAACATTTATGTTATTACTTGGAATGTACTTAATCAAGGATGGAATTCATCTGAGTTGTTTGTGAGAAATTTCTGTGACAACATGATTGGTAAATTTGACACGGAGGCAAAGTTTAAAACGTTTTTTTTTTCTTTTTAATGTTTTGCAATAGCTAGTCCATACTTAATTAATGCAGATGCCATCGCAGAGCAGATGTGATGTCATAAAACATATTTTGCAGAATCTGTTTAAGAATCGAAATTTGGGTTTTTGTCTTTGTAACAGTTCCTGACCATGTTTTCTCACTAGTGTGTGCATCTGCTTTTGTACTTCGTACGCAGAAAACCTTGAATTTTCACAGGAGGCCATGGCTCCTTATCACTTGTATTTGTAACGGTGTTCCTGCCATCTTGAAATGTTCCCACAGACATCACAGCTTTCAAAATTTAAAAACAAAGTCACACTTTAGGAAAAGAGGACATGTTTATCTGAAGTTTCTGTTGTAATGCCAATAGACAATGAATAGGCTCCACCGATTCCGCAGTCATGTTACTTTTATGTAACAAAAGCACTTTGTGTCATCCGCAGGATTAAAATCATGAAGAACATTGGCATTGTGTTTGTGAAGATGGGTCAGTATAGCGACGCCATCACATCCTTTGAACACATCATGTCTGAGAAGCCAGACTATGAGACAGCCTTCAATCTACTGCTGTGCTACTACGCTACGGGAGACCGTGATAAGATGAAGAAGACATTCCAACAGCTTCTGGCCGTAGATCTGAATCTAGACGACGAGGATAAATATCTACCACATCCTGTAAGTACACAGACAGGCTGAAAGCGTGACGAACAAACAACTCAGAGCTACATTAACTTCAAATATTTAACACCTGTGATCATTGCTAGAGTCTTCAGTCATGAATATTCATTGTTCTGGTTCGACTCATTAAAGAGAATGGCTTAGAGGAGGGTCTTAAAATAAACGAACGTTCACTGCTGTCTTCTGCATTTGCTTCCAAGTTTTCAATTATGAATATTCATAGCTGAGGTTCAGGTTGTGAATTCATGGCAATTCCTCATTTCTGATTAAAACCTCTTCCTTTTTTCAGGACGACAAACATGCCAATCTGGTCCTTGAGGTCATCAAGAACGATGCGCTGAGAGAGGGAGAGAAAGAAACGTGAGTTCATTTTTGTCTTCAACATGTTCTTTGAATTGTTCCAAGCAAGTTTAAATTCTGTGCAGCACTGATGTACTTGATGTTGCGTCAAGGTGATGGGAACTTTGGTGACAAAGAGAAAGGCAAGGGCAAAAGCACGATGTGCCTGGCAGCCATACAAAGTTGCTACAGATTTGCAACACTGCTGGTGTGTACTCTACACAAGACATGTATGGATGGGCACATGCGTATGGGACCAAGTTAGGTCAGTGAGCATTCGTTGACTGCTGGTTGATTTTCCTTGATAACCTCTATATCCCAGACATCAGGCAAGAATAACGAGTGGTTACCAAGGGGTTGCTGATTGAATATGGGCTAGCATTACGCCAAGTTGCTTGGTAAAAAATCGTCCTCTAACTTATGCATGGAACCCAGTTGCAGCTGGGCTGTTAAACAGGAATTTGTTTGAACCCTTCTGTGAATGTGTATTATGTTTTCAATTTCCTCATGTTTGTAGCAAGGAAGGCATGGAACGTTGTGTAATGGCTGGAGCTAAGCTGATTGCCCCAGCCATTGAGCAGAGCTTCTCAGCTGGATACGATTGGTAAGAATCTAATGACAAGAAGACCAATTAGAGGATATTTCTTGAGGTCAGGTGCATGTCAGTAGTTTTACAATCTCTGTGTGACACACAGCAGTTAGTGCTCGTGCAGGTCTTATGTCAAATGCCATGTTGGCTAATAGAATCCCGCACAAGAAGTTTAATGATACATGTACATGAGCACTTTGCCATCCTAAGACTGGTGCTCCTAGGAATAGTTCTTTCTGCAGCCAGGGTAGTAACCGGTAATCTTTCAAGGCTGCAATGGACCGTCCATTTGCCACATCAAAGTCATAGTTTCTTGTAACTATGGTTGGCTATCGTCAGAAGAAAAAGACAATAATTTACAAAGTGCTGACAAACCTCATACAGCTGTTAAAGCCGTACGTGACAAATGCTGCTTTAAAATACCAAATGAAAATATTTCTCCCTCCACAATACTTACGGAGCTAAAGTGTATTTTGAGGCCAAGTCGAGGGGGAGCTTCCTGCAAATTTCTGCCATGCGTACAGATTGCTGAATAATAGTTGACGTTTGTAGCCACAAGTAAGGTCTGTTCGCCCCCCTTGAGGGGTCATTCCTGCTCCCCGGTTGTTATTGAAGTGTTCACTGTGGAGGTATTGGCACAGTGTGTCTTCTTGGTTGTCATGTTCTTCCTGCCTCCTTCAGGTGTGTGGATTGCGTCAAGCAGTCGGCCTACACAGATCTGGCCAATGACTTGGAGATTGAGAAAGCCATCATGTATCTCAAGCAGAAGGAATTCTCACAGGTAAAATCTGCATTTGAAATCATGAGTTGGAAACACCGTCTTAAATTGCTGGAAAGAACGAGGGGTCAATGTATTTGTATATTGGTGATGACTTATTAAATAAAACTAAGGAAATCTGATCACACTTTGCACTCTAGTTGGTCTGCCAAGAATATTATTGTCATTGCTTAACATTTCAAAACTGAAAAAGCAATTCCAAATGGTAAATTAAAATTGGTTTCATCTGTTTCCAGTTTGTTTTCTTGAGTATCTCATCAATAGGTCTCTCTCAAATGTCGTCAGTTTCTACAGATAACCACATGCACCAGCATATTAGACTCTCCCGTGACGCACATCGGCTGCAGTGTATTATGAAGATATTTGGGTCAGCACGAATAGAGTATTTGAACACTGCGCGCAGATGCACCTGTTGGCATTGTATGCACAGTTGTAATTTTCCTTCCAAGATGGCGTGCTATCAGAGAGATCAACAGACCCGTTCACTGATTACATTATGCTTTGTTCACATATACACGTTCCTATGGGCGTGCTGAAAGCCTAATGACGTAGTTCATGGCACAAACTTGTCAATTTAATAAAAAAGTGTATTTTTTTGGGGGGGGAGAAGTACAGACAGTGCAACTTTGATTTGGTGTATGTTTTTTCTAAGGCTGTGGAGGTTCTCAAGACATTTGAGAAGAAAGATTCCAAGTGTGCTTCAGTGGCTGCCACCAACCTCTCCTTCATTTACTTCTTGCAATCCGAGTACCAGCTAGCAGAGAAATATGCCGAAGTTGCCATGACGGCAGATAGATACAATCCAGCAGGTAGGAAGGACCAAGAAACAAACTGCCCAAACCGCCCTGTCTGATGGCCACACAGTTTGAAATATAAGTGGTGATAGCTGGTCATTTTAGTGAGGACTTTCAAATGCTTACAACTTAAGCATGTTTTAAGGTAGTTATGTACAATTGAACTAAACAAACATTTAATAACTCTTGAGACTTTTTGGCCTACAACTTTCTGAAACTCTCTAAAGTCCGTTTTCTGCAGGAAACTAAAGGCATATTTTTCTACTTCGATTTTTGCTGGGCATGGAGTCCCACTTGAAGTGATAGTGGTCGAGTATACACGGCCTTTCCTTAGTCATGTCAAATTGACTAAAACCTCACCAGTAGGCTGTGTAAAGTGTATGGGAAGACATCCGATGGGTCTATGGATGAGGAAATGTAGAGCTGTTAACTATTACCACAACTTTCCTGATAAGGAAAACTTCAGATTGTGTCAGACTTTAAGACATGACTATTTAATTGTGCCAGCAACCCCGGCTAAGCCAAAGTCCTCTCTTCTTTTGATAAAATAACTTGAGGCTGAGGAAAGCGCCGGAGAGTTCATTGCACTGCAGTATTATTAGTCTAGAATGGCCTGTGTGATTGAATGTGTTTACAGCTCTGGTCAACAAGGGTAACTGTCTGTTTGTGCAAGGGGAGTTAGAGAAATGTCGTGAGTACTATCAGGAAGCACTGAGGACCGAGGCATCATGCACTGAAGCACTCTACAACCTTGGTAGGTTATCAACAAATGTGTAAGTCCTTAACCCCTTCGCGCCGGGAAGCGGCTATAGCCGCCGTAAAAATTGAGATCCTCAGCCCGCATTTCAGCTATTATTCTCGGCCCACGCTCGAGTGAACACGGTGAAAGAAGGCAGACCCTGGCTCTTGTATATATGGTGATTGGCCTTTGTCTGTTGCCAAGAAATGAAAAGACCGAATTTGCATCATAATCACCGGCTTCACAGTAGTCCCCACTTTGAAAAGAGGCAACAGGAATGTGGAAGCTTGAGTAGAGCCGCGTGCCACCAAACAGTCAGCCTTTTCACTGTGTAATTCAAAGTGAGCAGAGCACGCAGGGCCACAAACCGAGAATTTTCGGTTTGGCAGATGGCCTTCGGGACAAATTGAGGCTGGAATTCTCTGAGTCGGCTTTCAGAAAAAAATTCCCGTCGTCAAGGGGTTAAAGTGTGGCTGCAGTGAATTTTTTAATAGCTACACAATTTATCTACAACTTTGTACTCTTCTGCTATGTATGAAAAATCTTTTCCAATATTATTTGGTTAAATGCATTGAACAGTGCACTTTTTTAAGCACTTAAATTATATGTGCTTTCTAGGACAACTGAGGGCGCTGTTGCTTTGATGTCATCCAGGGAAGACTTGGTTCAGTGTGTAGATTCTTCTGTTCAAATCTTACTGAAAACATTACTGCTTATTGCTATGCCAGCGACCAGCTATGAATCAGCAAAGAAGAGAAAATTAAGTCCAGCAAAATCTAAAAAAATGCAGAACTTTTTTGTTTATGAATCAGTGTAACTCTGAGGCCTTCTGCCTAGGGTGACATCACAGTGTTGTTCATGAATATGGAAACATGACCAAAAAAAGGCAGTCAAATATCCTTTGAAATAGTCAACTTTAGTTTCAAGTTTCATTTCACTGAGACACAGAGGTTCATTTTAAAGGTTTGTACTGAAACAAATTGATTGTAGCTATTTATACCCTCCAATGTGCAAAACAATACGGTCGTTTCACAATAGTGGGCCTCCAAGAGTTTGCAAGGCGTCGACCAATCGCAATGCGCGAAATTTGTCAACCCAATGCACGTTTCGAAAGGGTCGACAAATTTGGCGCGTTGTGATTGGCCAATGCTTTACAAACTCTTGGAGGCGCACTATTGTGAAACGACCGTATTCAAGGGAAGAACAAGTGGCATAATGCCAAGCAACACTGACTGGCAGCAGAGGTCTTTGATAGAAAATTGTACAGCCTCTCAGTGAGGTTTAGGATGTTACAAGATAAAAAAAATGATAATAAACAGGAAAAGTTGTTGTGCATGTCTGTACATAAATGTCCTTCGTTGTTCGCGTAGATGTTCACGTAGAACTTGCTGATAAGCCTGTTGCTGGTTGGATTTGTTGCTTCTTGTGATTGATGAATATTATACACATCTTGACAGACCCTCTGTTATCATCCATGAAGGGCCTGTCCTATAAATAGGATATTGAGCCACATATTGAGGATGACATTACAAAAAGAAAAGTGAAATTTGTGCCTGTGGAAATCAGATCATTGAAAATATCGATCTTAATTCAGTCAGCTCAACACTTTGTGAGGCCCACTCTAAAATCCGACACTTGTAAGAAAAAAAACTGCTGCTTAATCTGAAAAGTTACAAGATTACTTGGACAGAAGACACCGGGCAGAAAGGGTCGAATAAAGGAGCAACTTTTGAAAGCTTTTTGACATTCTGAAAGAATTCTATACATTTTTGTGCCTAAGATAAATATTTATTTACTGATCCTGAGAAGCCTGGTTTACTGTGGGACATGATGTGATGAAGGCCTCCCCAATATTTTACTAACAGACTGGTTGGAATGACGACAATGATACACCTGTAGCTTTCTCTAATTTTCAGGCCTTGTGAATAAGAAGTTGGGCCACCTTGAGGCATCCTTGGATTGCTTCTTGAAGCTTCATGCCATCCTGAGGAACAATGCTGAAGTTTTGTTCCAGATAGCCAGCCTGTATCCTTTATATCTCCCTGTAGTTTTTCTCTTTTCTCTGTCGGTTGGCACACGCTGCTGTGTTATCGAGACAAGCTCAGGGGCCAATTGCATAGAGCTGCTTAAGTGCAAAATTTGCTGAAGCGCAAAAAAACCTCGCTTGCAAAACAAAGGTTACCAGCTCAACCAGGAATAGCATGGAAAGAAATATAGGCCTTTTGGTTTGGAGAGGTTGTGCAAGTCATTACTATACTGTGGGTTACTGACTATTACAAAACAGGTGCCTAGTTTATTCGAGTCTAATAAAAGCACGTCTCCGCAAAGAGTCCATGTCTACAGTATCCACCCTTTGAAGCCCAACACAAACTGAGTATCATCCTTAACCACACCCCTCTCAGCTATGACATGTTAGAGGATACGCCTCAGGCCACAGAGTGGTTCACCCAGCTGATCAGCATCGTACCCACAGACCCAGCAATCCTCTCCAGGCTTGGCGAGCTCTTTGACAATGAGGGCGACAAGTCCCAGGCATATCAGTACCACTATGAGGTCAGGGAACCAAACGACGTTGAGATGTTGAAAGTGACTTCTTGATACAGCCACATTGGGCTTGCATGCAGGAAAAAGTGAACAATGTCATGAACAGACCTATACAACTTATCTGGTTTCTGATCTCGTTGTTTGGAAATGAAGGGTTTTTATGTCTGGAACATTGTTTCTCCTGTCTGTTCAAACACGAGAGAGAGCACCTCACAAAATGGTAGTGACCGCGTCAGTCTCGTTTGGCAGCGGAATGCTAGATTGGTTTATTTTGTGGAAATGGACCGAGAGGAATGTGCCATGAGAGTACACAAAACTTATTTCAGGTACTCGAGGTACGGTCACCAACACATGACGTCACTTTCACGTTTTGTCATTTGTTTGTCACCTCATTGCTCATCAGCTCCGCTTTTGTCAATTTTTGCCCTATTTCTTTTCCATTTTTCAGTCCTTCCGGTACTTCCCCTCAAACATTGAGATCATCGAGTGGCTGGGTGCATACTTCATTGACTCCCAGTTTGTGGAAAAGGCCATTCACTACTTTGAGAGAGCTGCCGTGATTCAACCCAACCAGGTCAAGTGGCAGCTAATGATCGCCAGCTGTCACCGACGAAGTGGTAAATACTCACACTTACAAATGTGGGTCAGTCCACGATGTTAGGTGTACACAGAGTTTGACATTTGGACGCATTTGTAGATGGGGCATCTACGGTCCCTTACAGTATAACCGAATTGCTGTTTTAATAGTGGTTGGATTTCTTCCTGCTTTTATGGAGCATTTTTGAAGTTGTTCAGCATATTTCTGAGAGAAACTGGTTTCACACTTAACCACTTGTTGCCGATGGACCCGATTTCATGTTTTCTTTATACCTAATGCCAGGGTGCCCGAAATCGGACAAAAGAGCAGGGCCTTGTAACAAAAGACTGTACTCAGAACAAAAGACTGAGCTGCTGGGAATTGACAACATTTTTTCAGTTGTCAATAGCAAAGGAAATCCGTCACTGTTTTCAAAGATTATACCACTGTTTGTGGCATTTAGCACAAGCGGATTACCACCGGGGACAAAAGTATTCCAGCGCTCCAGCGATGAGCGATACAGTTCTGCTGTACGCTAATCTGGCCCCTATTGAAAAGATGTTAGCAGCGCACTGTGCTGGTTTCGGGCACAAAAGAAAATTATGCAACACCACACAATCTGGGCCCTTTTTACAAGGCAGGAGGCCTGGCTAAAACACTCGGGCATCAATAGATGTTGTCTGTCAGATTGGAGTAGCCACCAGACAGTCATTTGTGTGGGTGTAAACGTCTAGTAAATGAAGTTATGAATTTTAAAAGAATTTTTAAAACAGAAAAAATGAAAAATCACCCGGCCCCGAAGAATCAACAATTTTCATCAGTTTTGGTGTGGAATTTAAATTCTTGGTAGCAGTTTTGCCTTAAATAAACAGCCGCGAGAACGCAGCACACCATTGCCAACGAGTTCCAGTGAAATTTGACATCCCAAGTTATCATTTAATCGGCCTCATATGTCATACTTTCCAAAATTAGGCATCCATTGACAGATATCATTGAGTACCTCCAAAACTTTACATTGAATTTCTGAGGTTCAATGCAATTTGACAGCTGATTAGTGTTTTTGTTATGAACCAGTAATAGTCACGATGTAGAATGAATTTAAACGTGGCTTGATTTATTTCAGCCAAGATGTACAAAATTATGACTTAATTACCGTCTTTTTTTCCTCACAGCATTAATTCACTGAGGTAATTCTCACTTTGCCTCACTCTCTCGTACCACGTGATTCCTTACAGCATTGTTATACAGTGGAGAGATCTGGATGTTGCTTTTCAAGGGTCATGCGAAAATATTAAACAATGTATTAGTGGCCTATATATTTAAAAATCAAGAACTGAAACTCATTTTGAAATGTAACTTCCCAGGCAACTACCAGCAAGCCTTGGAGACCTACAAACGCATCCACAAGAAATTCCCTGACAATATCGAATGTAAGTGCTTATGCTGATTGGATCATTTTCCGCATCGAAGATTTGGCCACGGATTAGACTGCCTCTGCATTTGCATACAGAGTATTTTTTTCAATATTGAGCCCTGCTTTTGTTCCCATATAAGGATTCTGGACTAATAGAATGACAAGGTATCTAGAAAGGATATGTATGCTTGCAGTGTTCCAACATGACTCTC